ATGTCCCTCTGGGAAGGATAAGCGAGGAAAAAAAAAGCTGGACAGGAAACTGTAACAACTGCAATTTTTTTTTTTTACTTGCGGATTTTTTTTAAAAGTCAAAACATGAACCTTGTGTTGAACTTTCAAGTTCCTGACTTTGCATCTCCTGAGTTTGGAGATAGCGGTTCTGACAGTCGTACGCACGGAGCTCTTTTAGCATTCCAGATTATATAACAGCGTGGAATTTCAGAAGGAAGGCAATAAAACCCTTCTTGAGCTGTCAGCATCCGTCTGAAATGCCCTGCAGCTTCTTGATGACCTGTAATAGATTCCTCATCTTCATTTTCCCATCCAGCTCAGTGCTGGATTTTAATTTGCTTCTCATTGCTGGGACTTCGGACAAGGGATGGAGGGACAGGACACAGGGAATGGCTTCCCACTGCCAGAGGGCAGGGAGAGATGGGATATTGGGCAGGAATTCTTGGCTGTGAGGGTGGGGAGGCCCTGGAATGGATTTTCCGTAGAAGCTGTGGCTGCCCCATCCCTGGAAGTGTCCAAGGCCAGGTTGGAGCAACCTGGACTAGTGGAAGGTGTCCGTGCCCATGGCAGGGGTGGGACAGGATGAGCTTTCAGGTCCCTTCCAACCCAAACCAGTCTGGAATTCCCTGATTCTGAAGTTCCTTTTCAAGGTAGCAGATACCACACCCTGCAGAGAGAGGTGTGTGTGTGTGGACTTTCATTCCCTTTGGGATTGATGGGAATTTATTGTCCTGACCTGTTGTGCCAGCTGATAACACTGTTGCCCTTGGGTGGTGGTTCCAGCAAGGCCTCTTGGCATCCCTGTAAGACCCGGAGCAATGGGGAGATCCGGGCAAATTCCCCTGGAGATCCATATGGGAATGGAGCCCTTAAGCCTCTCTCTTCCCTGGTTGCTGGCAGGGGCCTCTCCTGGCTGCACACTCATTAATTTGGAAGATACTTAACCTCCCTCTGGAGGTCTGGCCGGTGACCTCCCAAGATTAGCATCTCCTGCAGCGAAAAGGCTTTACCCTGTAATCCCCTCCTGGGAGAGCTCCTGGCTGGACATTCCCTGGGGGATGTCCTGCGGGACGCCGGGCACGGGGCTTTGCTCCTGCCAGAGCCCCCAGCCCAGCAGGGCCCCGGGGGTGGGTGGCCAGGAGGGCTCTCTGGGCTGGCTGAGCCCTGCCCTGGGGGTTGTGGCCGTGCTGATCTTTGCAGAGGGCTGAGAACACAAACAAATCCCCGCCGTCAGCAGCTCTGCTGAACGTCCTGCTCTCTTTGGGAACCTGCCCTGGGATCAGTGCAGGGAAGGTGCTACTTGCATGGGATCCTTATTTTTCCTGTCAGAAGCAAGTTTGCTCTGTAAGTACGTTGTTAATGGTGTTTTTTCCTTTAAGCAAGACTTTGTAAGCTCTAATCCTACCCTGGTTTATATTATCAGCGCTCGTAACCGGATTTTCAGCTGCCACTGAGCTTTAATACTCACTAAAATTGCTTTACAGGTTTGTGGGATCTGTCAGATTTGCATTTTGTGTCGAGTGCATGATCTGCTGCTGGCACACATTAACGGGCACTTTCAGGATTGGTCCTTGTAAGAGTTTGGCTTCTCCTTTTTGTTGCTTTTGTGTCTTTTGTTCAGAGATCGGAGGCAGAACGTGTGTTTTGGGAGGGGCTGCAGGGCCGGGGCTGGAACTGAGAAATCCTCTTTTCTGAGTCCTTGGGATCACGTTTCTCATGTTCCAAGCTTGAGAAGGAGGAGCTGAATATTGGGATGGGGTTGGGACGACAAATGAGCTGGAAGTGTCTGCTTTATGGCTGTAGGGCAAAGAACTTGGGAAACATTTTGGGAATAGGAAGGGGGGATTTGCTAATGTTTATTCTGACCCAGCAATCTTTGTTCTCTGGGGTTATCCCGGCACTGGCTGCAGGGAAGGGATGTTTGTTCCTGGCTCAGGAGCCTTGTCCCTGCTCCTGGTCTGTCTCCGGCCTCTCGGCCCCTTCCAGAGCTCTCTGGATCCCTCCTCGCGTTGGGATTGCTGGGAAGCAGTGCTTGGATTGGGTTTTTAATTAGCACCTCTTATGAAAACGTTGTCTGAAGAACATGCAAGTCTTTGGTTTAGACTTCGAAGGACTTGGAGTCAGCTCCCAGCTGCTCCTGAACCAGCTTTGGTCTGGATTTTGGGGCTTTGCTGGAGCTGAGGCTTCCTAAACACCAGTGGTGTTGCTCAGCTTGGTTCCATCCAATGCCACATGTAAATATTTCCCTGTACAACTCTGTCTCCTGTTCATTCCTCCTCCAGCCCAGCGTGGGCTTGAGGGAGGTTCCCCTCCTCACTTAAAGGCATGACCACAACCTGTCCACTGAAACAAAACCAGAGGGCAGGTTTGACTTCTGCTTTACCTTTATGACCCTAATTTTATGGGAGATCTCTAATCATGGCACTGTGCCAATGTGTTTTTGTGGTCTAACAAACAGATTTATTTAAAATATTTAGAATTCAAGCAGTGTGTGCTCTACAGCTGCTCAGCCTTAGTGTGGGTCTAGTCCAAAAATCAGCTTTGAAGAAGTTCTTGTCAAATGTTTTTAACTGCTCCCAGGCTCTTCCTCACACTGTCAAGGACTTTCAGTGTCTCCTCTTTTTTTTTTTTTTCTTTAAATAGAATTTTATAGACACACAAATGACAGGCTCCTGTCTGGAGGAATTTCCAGTACAATCTAATTAAATCCCTTGCTGTTCTGCACCACAGATAATCGTAAATAATAATAATGTCTCCTGACACATGTAGTGACACTTTATCTTCAAAGCACTTTGCAGACATAAATAAAATAAAATAGTATAAAAATCGTATTATATTATAAAATAAAATATTAGTAAAATATTTCCTGCTTGAATTATCAGCCTTTCAGCTACTCCAGGACTGGGGGCTCAGGCAGCATTCCCTGGGCTGGATTTTCCATGGGACACAGGGGATCCATGTGTCCCCCCGTCCTTTGTCACATGGAGGAGGCAGAGCTGATGGAAAGCCTGGCCAGGGAACCTTCTGTCTCCTCCTGCTGAAGTGAACCATGGCAAATGGAGCTGTGGAGCAGAATGAAAGCTAAAAACCACTGGCAGCAAAGCAGCGTCCCCGTGCCAGGTCCCACTGCTCGGGGGGCTCACAGGGCTCAGGGGGCAGGGATAACCCCAGGGATGGGCAGAACTGCATTTATTCTGGGGCAGGTCTTCAGTGCTTTCACTGGGTCCTGTTCACCTGGAAGCCAAGGAGTAGAAGATCTTGTGTTTACTGGAATTGTCCTTTGAATTCCCAATCCCTGGCTCTCCGAGGGCGTATAAGCATAAAAATAAAGCACATTTTGTTTGTGTTTAGTTGGATCAGAGTCTTTATAGGATCTCATCTACAATTGTGAACTTCTGTTAGGGCATAACATTCCTTTAGAGGAAAGTGTCCCTGCCCGTGGCAAGGGCTTGGAAGTGGATGGGATTTAAGGTCCCTTCCAACCCAAACCATTCCAGGGTTCATTCCCTGATATCACTTATAACATCTATGATATTTCTCCCCACAGCCAGTGCCCATCTCGTGGTGTGTCAGTGCCACACCTGGCAGGTGGCACTCTCCATATTTTGAATTTCAGTGGTGAAGGAGCATTTTCCCAGCGTGTCCCTTGTGGGGTGGTTGTTGTGGGACACCCCAGTTCAAAGCTGGGAGAGAGAGGAAGAGGAGCCCGTGTCCTGCCCCCTGTGAGGGCACTGAGCTGAACCCTGGTGACACCACTGAACCCGCCCAGCCCTTCATGTGATGCCTCAAAGGGAGTTAAAGCTCATTAATTCTTCTGCTTTCCTGGGGATTATCTGGGAAGTCCCAGCTAAAGTGTATTTCTGTCATCAGCTCAAAACAGGGACACGCAGCCGGTCACACGCCTCTGACCCTGCAGAGCCCCAGCCCCAGGGACAGCAGGGGCCCTGGGCCTCCAGGCTTTAATTGGAAATAATATCAGGTGTTAATCACAGGTTCTGATGTGTTTCTGCCTTCATGGAGTCCCCTCCTGCTCTTCTGAGGACAAAATCTCTGAGCAAATTGCTGTTCCCACTGATTGATTTGTGCTGGTGGCATTGCCTTATTTTATCAGGGGAACACAAAAGCCATTTTTCCATCTTAGTCTTTCTCAATCACTTTGTTGTTGTTATTAGAATGTTTAGAGTCTCTGTGAATCTCTGCCCACTTTGCTGTTTTTGCCTACCTGGTACCAGGTTGTTGCTTTTATACACCAGCATCATGTTTTTAATTAATTCTTCCCCTCTGGTCCCTCTCTGTGTTAACATTGGGGTTGCTTTTATCAACTTTTATTTAATTAGCCAGTTTTACACTGAATTAACAGTCATCTCCAGGGATATTCTTTTGAGGCACACTCTGAATTTCCTCTCCTGAGCTCCAGGTACTGTTAGCCTTAGTGAAGGTAAAAATATTAAAAGCATAAAAAGATTTATTGGCTAAAGAGCAGAGAATGTTGTTTTAGGGGATGAGAGAAGGAGTTGGGGTCAATATTTTTGTGTTTCTTTCCAGAAGAAACTGGAATCAGTTGGAAACTCTAAGGTTGTCCAGAGAAGAGTTGAAAAATTCAGATTTCCTTAAAATGAAAACTAAGCTAAAAAGCCACTAGTCTGGGTGTTAGTTTTGAGCCTTTCCACTGAGTTTGTCCAATTTAAAGCTTTAGGGCTTAAGGTTTTCTTTCTTTTGTACAATGCAAGGATTTTGAATAGTCCTGCACTTCAGTGTGAGTCCCTTCCTGATCTTACATGTGTATCAACACACGGAATTCCCATCATTCTGTTTCTCACCTTTGAAGAGTTGGATCAGAGCAGTAATAAATGACTGTTCTGGTCTCTGGTTTGACTCCCAGTTCCTGTTCCCTGTCGGCCTCCAAATGTCACATCGTCCAATAGTCTGCTCCAAGTATTTTAATGTTTTGGCTGTGTCGCTTTCTCCTCCCCTTTCAGTGTTCCCAGGAGGAATCATGGATGAAAAGCTGTCCTACAAGGAGTTCCTCGACCGCAACGACTCCTGGTCGACGGACGAGCGGGAGCTGCGCTTCGACCCGCAGCCCGTGTTCAAGCCCATGGAGATGGCTGGTAGGGCTCCACTGCTTGGGAATCCGCAGCATCCCCGATTTTAGGGGCTGTGGGATGTGGTGAAGGGCTGGTCTCCACCCCCACAGGGGTTTCTCTCTTGCCTTCCACCCCCCAGTGCCTCGTGGTGTCCCCAGGGCTCAGCGTTGGGCCCAGCCCTGGTTGATGTCTTTGCTGATGATCTGAACAAGGGCATCAAGGGCACCCTCAGGCAGTTTGCAGAGGACACCAGGTTGGGATTGTGGATCTGCTGGAGGGCAGGAAGGCTCTGCAGAGGGATCTGGACAGGCTGGATCCATGGGATTGATGGGCTGAGGCCAACAGGGTGAGGGTCAACAAGACCAAGTGTGGGTCCTGCACTTGGGTCTCAAGAACTCCAGACTGGGCAGAGGGGCTGGAAAGCTGGGAAATGACCTGGGGGTGCTGGTGACAGTGGCTGGACATGAGCCCAGGTGTGCCCAGGGTGGCAGGAGGCCAATGGCTCCTGGTTTGTACCAGCCATGGGGTGACACAGGGCAGGGTTTGTACCAGCCATGGGGTGACACAGGGCAGGGCCTGTCCCTGTGCTGGCACTGCTGAGGCACCTCCAGCCCTGGGGGCAGTTCTGGGGTCTCCAGTACAGGACATGGAGAGGCTGGAGCGTGTCCAGGGAAGGGAACAGAGCTGGGAAGGGGCTGGAGCAGCAGGAGCAGCTGAGGGAGCTGGGGGGGCTCAGCCTGGAGAAAAGGAGGCTCAGGGGGGACCTTCTGCTCTGCAACCCCCTGACAGGAGTGGGGAGCCAGGGGGAGTCTGTCTCTGCTCCCAGGGAACAAGGGACAGGAGGAGAGGGAACGGCCTCAAGCTGTGCCAGGGGAGGGTCAGCTTGGACACCAGAAGGAATTTCTCCCTGGAAAGGGTGGTCAGGCCTTGGCAGGGGCTGCCCAGGGAGGTTTGGAGTGCCCAGCCCTGGAGGTGTCCCAGGAAGGCCTGGCCATGGCACTCAGTGCTCTGGGCTGGGGGACAAGGTGGGGATGGGGCACAGGGGGGATCCATGGGCTGGGAGGGCTTTTCCACCCTTAATGATTCTATAATTGTATGACAAGAGCAGTTTTTGGTTGACTCCGACAGTTCAACCTCTCCTGGGAGCTGTGGAGTTTGGTGCAAACCTCTCCCAGTCCCTGCCTGCTGAACTCCAGCTGCCCCTGGCTCTGGGCAGGTCCGGTTCCAGCTGTCATGTCACTGCTCTGCAATGCAGGTCGGGCTGTTCCCGAGCCTCTGGAGCTGCTGACTCTCCTGAAAATTAGATGGTGAACCTTGTATAACCCTACAGAAAGAGACGCTTTCACCCAGCAACATCCCCTCAGTTTTCTCTCCCTTTCGAGAAAGCTTGTGGGAAATGGCTCCTGGAGCACCTGAGAAATGGGGGTGCTGCCCAGGTTATCACAGGGAAAGGTACAGGATGGAACTTCTGGGTTTAATATAGTTTTGAGCACTGTGGACCTGCTTAATGCATGATCTGAATCGTGGATTTACTGAGAGATTCTGTGAAGAAATGATGTATTTTTACAAGGGTAAGGAATGATTCATGGAAGAACTGGAACAGAAGAGCCACTGATTTGTAGGGTTTTCCCTCCTGCTTCTTTGTGGCTGCAGGAATGGGATGCTGATGTTGTTATGCTCAAGAGCCAGATGTCAAAGCTGTTGATTAGGAACAATTTACATACCTGGCCCATCACCCAGTGATCTTGTGGCCTGAATAATGTGAATTTGTGGGTTATTTGTTGCATGAAACCACATTTCTTTAGGTTTCATGTCCTTAGAGTGTCTTGCAACCAAAAAGTTCTTCCACTTCTCCCCTTTTTCCCTCTGGAGCAGAGACAGGGTTTAATCCAAGCTGCCCATTTTTCCCACATCATCCAACTGCTGGACAAAGAGGGAAAACCAGCAGCATCTCTTTTAGTTTTTAAATTGGTTTCAATCATGATGATTTTGGGGTTTTTTACCTTTTTTTGGGGGGTTGTTTTTTTAATTGGAAAAAGGGCAGTTGTTTAGTCCTGGCAACACTGATGTAAACAGCTTGAATTTAAAATATTCTCCACCTTGCTCTGGGGGAAGATGTTGTCTTGGCATCTCAAATGGTCTGACAGGTTTCTAATTCCCTCAGCTCACCTGATTCTGACATCTCAGAGCACTGTGGGCATGGGAACACCTGAAGCTGGGCCATTGGCCCTGCAGGAAGCACATCTGGCATGAAAATGAGCAACAGCCTTCAACTGAATCCCTGTTAATTGGGCACCTGGGAGAGATCTGGGCAGTGTCTGGAAATGGGGTGTGACAGGAATTTGGTGAGCGGGGAGTCCTTTGGCTCCTGGGTGACACAACATGTGACAGAGTTTGGGAAATGTCCCTCACCTCTGAGAGGCTGTGCCTGTCCAGAGAAGTGCCATGGACACGTGGCACAGGCCAGGCAGGTGTGCCAGGAATCCCTCATTCCTGGCCCAGGAAGGGCTGTATCCCAGGGACAGCTGTGAACCCACAGCCTGGGCTGATCCCTCAGCAGGGCAGGGGGGGATTCTGCCCCTCTGCCCCCTCAGCTGAGACCCCCCTGCAGAGCTGCTCCAGCCCTGGGAACAGCAGCAGGAGGACGTGGAGCTGCTGGAGAGAGTCCAGAGGAGGCCCCGGAGATGCTGCCAGGGCTGGAGCCCCTCTGTTCTGGAGCCAGGCTGGGAGAGCTGGGGGGGTTCCCCTGGAGAAGAGAAGGCTCCAGGGAGAGCTGAGAGCCCCTTGCAGGGCCTAAAGGGGCTCCAGGAGAGCTGGAGAGGTACTGGGGACAAGGGATGGAGGGGCAGGACACAGGGAATGGCTTCCCACTGCCAGAGGGCAGGGGTGACAGGAACCTTAAACATCTACTATTCCAGGTTGCTCCAAGCTCTGCCCAGCCTTGCCTTGGACACTTCCAGGGATGGAGCAGTCTGCCTGGAACACTGTTCCTTTCCCTTCTGCCTTGTTACTTGGTTATAATACTGGCCCATCACCCAGTTCCTACTGGGATACAGCTCCTGGCTGGGAGAGCTCGCAGGTTCCACTCCTTCCGTTGGTCTGCTCTGGATTTAACTGAGCTGAGCTCAGCCGTCGTTCCTCACTCAGGTGAACTGGGTGTGTCCATCAGGACACAAGCAGATGATTCCTCCTGGAGAGGAGGTGGAGGAGGTTCTCCCTGAACAGCCAGGACCTAAATGTCAGTCAGCTTTCCCTGGGAAGCAGCCTGAGAACTGTCACTGGTGGGTGGAAGTTGGAATTACGAAGGAGTTTGCTCCTGGTAACTGACCCCGAGAGCAGCTTTCCCTGAGGGGTGCAGTGGTGGGGTCAGGAGCACCTTCACCTCCTTTTCTGATGTTCCTCTGTGCCGTGTCCCCCCCCCGGGTGGTGACACTGACCTCCTTGTGTCTCCTCAGACCCCTTCAACATGCACAGAGGGGAGAACCTGCCGGATTTGTCCTTTCCTGCTGACATGAGGAACGTGCCGCTGTTCCCGGGCCATGGGGAAGCTTCCAGAGACATCCTCAGTGAGTTCCTCCCGGGCATTTCTCCCTGCTGCTCAAGCTGGGGAGTTCTCTCTGTTGACTTTCATATATATACAGCAAATTATTAAGGTCTAAAGTTCACAGGCCTTTTCTCCTGCTCTTATTTTCGTGTCTAAAAACCAAATACACACGAACTGGGTGGTCTTGGGGTTTTGAGCTATTGGATTATTTTATTAATATTGGATTATTAAGTGATTATTAGCAGGAATTCATGGGAGCAGAAGCAGAAAGCCAAGGGGAAGTAATTTGCCTGTGTTTACTGTATAACACCTTGTTAAAAAGTTCTACATGAATACAGAATTTATGGTTTGTAAAGCTGAAATAACAGATTTGATACGAACTTGAACTGAAGTACTTGTGAGCAGAAAGGTCCAAGTGTTGTGTAGACTTGAAATTTAGGAGAGGAGTCATTAATAAATAAAGTAAATAATTCAATAAATTATGTTAAAGCATTTTATTTTAAACGTTAAAATATTTATTTTAATAAACAATTATTTTAATAAACATTAATTTTAATGGTTTAATGAAGATTTATTTTAACAACAATTATTTTTGAAGTTAAAATATAATAAATAAAGTTAAAATAAGCATAAATTAATAAATAAAGTAAATTAAAAAAAATGAAGAGGGCTGGTGATTAACAAAAGGGCTTTGTTTCCTCAGCACCACACAGCCCTATGATGGTACCTGACCAACCTTTCTTGGGGCCCATGTATTCTCCTGCAGAGGCTCTGGACCCATCAGCCTTCATGGGCCTGGATTCAGGCACAGAATTCCTGCAGGACAAAGCAGGTGAGAAGTGGGTGTTTGGGTGTCTGGGTGGGTTTGGGGGGTTTGCAGCTGGAAAATCTGAGTTTGGGAGTCGGAAAGAATCTTGGGGGGGGAATTGATACATAAAACAAGTCGAGGTTGGAAAGTCTCCTGGTGGCACTGGCAGTGGTTTGGAAAGTCTCCTGGTGGCACTGGCAGTGGTT